TTTGTGTGCTGACGTCATCACATTCCAACGCCGAATTCCAGACCTGCACCAAAATATTCAAAACACATTAACCAATATTTATTTCACTGCAGCCGCCACGTTGCTTCAGCTGCAGAGGGGTGTCGGGGTACAGTACCCAAACTAAACCCTTTGTAGAAAGAGGACGCCATAGAACCATCACCACCATGCGCGGCCCGTTGCTTGCTACGGCGCTGTTGTTGGTGACATTCCTTCTCGCGGTTAGCGCCGCCAGTGACCAGACCAGAGGACTGCCAAAGGGGGAGGTGGTGCCCTTCGATGCGCCGCCGACGGCCGAGTGCGGACCCGCCACGGCTGAACTGCTGTTGTGGGGCGTGGAAACGAACCTGCTGACAGCCGACCAGCACCTGCACCTTCTCACCGAGTGCCAGCACCGCGTCGCCATGGACCAGCAACGACCAGGTTGGGGCCTGGTCTTCTTTATTCTTCTTTATTGTTTATTATTTATATCATTCTAATTATTATGGTTTTTCAAAGCAACTAACTTTCCTTTTCGTTGAATTATCATTATAAATTGTACTACTACAACCACAAATACTAATACTAATAATAATAAAACCTGGCCAGGTCTTGTGGGCCAAGCGCTGGCGGCAGTGAACTCGCGCTTGACACTCATCAACGTGCTGTACTTCTTCGGCGCCCTGCTCGTCATCTGCGCCATGGTACGCTTCCCAATTCTTCGCCTGGCGTGCGACCCGTCAACAACTCACTCTTGCGGGATCGTGTCGTGTCGTGTGATCAGACCCTGTTCATGACACTCGGCTGGGGTGCGTCTTGTGTGCGGCGTGTCGGCGGCTGTGGGTACAAAAAGGCTCCGGCACTGATCTCGAATTGTAACACTCAACAGAATCGTTCGGTGGGTGGGGCATCTTCACGATCGCCACCATGTACGGACTCATCTTCGCCCTCATGGGCCGCTTCTTCTGGAACCCTGCCGGTATGCACCACCGCACACGCACAGCCGCACACGCGCACGCACCGCCGCACACGCAGACTGGCGATTGATTGGTCTCACGTCGCGGGTGGGTGATTGGGAGAGCAGGAGATGAAGGGTGGAACACGCTGGGCGGCCTTCTGTTCACCGTGTCCATCTCGATGACGCCGCTCGCCGTCTACGGCGTGGAGCGGGCCACCGGCATCTGGCCGGGCGTCAACGGCGGCTCCTACGCCGACTATTACCGGTACCACCTCACACGCACCCCAACCCGCACACGCACCACCCAGCGAGGTGTAGGCATGATTGATGGCGCTCACTCTTCGTCGTCGACAGATATAGCCAAGTCCAGTTGGCTGCCGATGGAGATCGTCACGTGCGTCGTGGGGTCAGTGGTGCTCTACTTCGTCCGCTCCCCGTTCCTGACGATGCCCGTCGCCATCACCCTGTGGCTCATGTCCATGGACCTCACGGCCGTCCTCTACAGCAAGTCCTCATGGTACGACGACACGACATGACCAACGACACGACCAACGACACGACCAACGACACGACCAACGACACGACACGACACACGGCCTAACACGCGACTTGGTCTCCTACCATTGTAGGAGTCAAGAGCAGAGGGCGAAGGTGAGCATGTATTTGGCGCGGCGGTGCTGGGCGGCGCCTATTACGTCGACAGATGGCTGGGCTGCTCGCAGGACTTCGCCTTCTGGTTCTACCTCGCGGGCGTCGTCTCCTTCTGGCTCGGTCTCACGCTCCAGGTACTGCTGCTGCTGCTGCCACTGCATCAAGGCGCCGCTCGCTCTGGGTTGACAAACTGAGATTTGACGACTGAAAGACCGACAACTCATCATCTTGCGTGCGCGTGTGCCGTACGCAGGGGAGCTCGCACGAAGCGGGAGGCGTGGTCTACCTGGCCATCAACATGCTCATGATGGTCTACGCCCAGATCGCCGACCGAGTCATCTTCACGCTCTTCGGCTTCGCCGGCATTCTCCTCCTGGCCTATGGTATGCTGTCTTACATTATTATCATTATTGTTATAATTGTTGTTCTTATTATTGTTGTTTTATTTTTAATTAATTGCTGACTTGCGGTGGTGGCGTAGTGTCGATAGAAAGGATGACCATCAAATATGCGACGTTCGTCTACATGCGCGGGGTGCTCGCCGTCATCCTGCTCCTCGCCGCCCACAAGTACAACGCTTCCGCGCCCTACTGGTACCCTCTTCGCTATCTGCGCGTGTGCGTGTGCGTGTGCGTGTGCGTGTGCGTGTGCGTGTGCGTGTGCGTGTGCGTGTGCGTGTGCGTGTGGACATGACAAGCCGCTTCAACTAACACTGTGGTTGGTGGACAACAGGGCGTCGCTGGTCGTCATCGGCCTCTACAACACGCAAGTCGCGTTAAAGGGCGCCAGCGAGTTTGAGGCCATTCACATCCTGCGGCTTCTCTTCAACCTTGGGTACGCGCCCAGTGCCATTTCCTCCGGAGGTGCCACGTCCGGTGCTAACACCGGAATGCGTGGAATGTTCGTTTGGACATGGACGCCGCGCAGGCTCTACGAGGGAAGTTCGGCGTTCGCCGGGCACAAGGCCTCGCTGCTGTTCTTTGACATCGACGCGCAGCTCCCGCTGGCCCTGGTGGCCGGCGTGTCGATGCTCGTCTTCCACGCTCCCGCCATCGTCAACCGGAGCCGCTTCTTCCTCGGCTATCGGCTCATCCTGTGGTACGCGATCCGCTCCACGCACGCACGCACGCACGCACGCACGCACGCACGCACGCACACGCACGCACACGCACGACACGCACGACACGCACGGCACGCACGCACACGCACGACCCGTTACGACACGCCTGCATGGTAATCGTGCGCGCGCACGCAATGCAACAGCCACGCGATGATGCTCGGGTCGGTGTACTGCCCGAGTCTGCTCTACCTTGGCGCGCTCGGCATCGCCATCTACGTGGCCAGCAGGCACCGTCGCAGACAGACCACCTTCCGCCAATTCGTACGTCACTGCCACTTTTCTGCGTATATACAAATCATTATTTATATTAAAATTTAGAAATAGTATTGGTGTTAATAATGTTATTTATTTGAGTCTGATGAGGATTAATCCTTGTTGCAATTGTGCGCAGATGCTGAACTACTTCCTCGGCGTGTCCCTGGTGGTCTTCTCCGAGATCTTCGACTCGCGGATCGTCTTCTACGTGGTATACACCACACACGGCACACACACGGCACACACACGGCACACACACGGCACACACTACACGGCGCATACACGATTGCACGCTCGAGTTTCTCTTCTGAACACTGAAGTCTGCCCTCTCCTCCTGCCCGTGTAGGGACTGGCCGTGTGTCTGCCCTCGGCATTCGGCTGCTTCGACCACAACTGGCGCCAGAAGTACGTCCTCGCTCACCTAGCCATGGCTTTTAGTGTGTGCGTGTGCGTGTGCGTGTGCGTGTGTGTGCGTGTGCGTGTACGTGTGTATGTGCGTGTGCGTGTGCGTGTGCGTGTACGTGTTCGTGCGTGTGCGTGTGTGTGCGTGTGTTTCTGCGGGGTGCCAGTGGTCTGATGCGGGGATGGGGGTGGGGAACAGTGCCTACAAGGGCAGCCTGTTCTGCGCGTTCAGTGTGGCGGTGGTCCTGGTGTCGGTCCTCTTCCAGAGCCAGTTCCTCATTATCCTCGGTACGGCGCCCCCACTCAACCTTGTTTGCAGTCGCTGGCCTCGTGCGCTCACACGTCGGCACACATGGCACACGCGAAACGCACACGACGCACAATGCTTGACAGGCGGCGGCTGTGTGTTTGCCTATCTGTCCTACTTGGCCTACAACGTGTTCCGCAACTCCCTCCTGTTCCCGTTCGCCCTCACCGGTACACACATTTCCCCTCTTTTCCGGCACACCAACTCGTCGCACTCACCGCACGACACGCACCGCACACGCACACGCACACGCGCATGGAATTGCTTGTAGGCATGGGCCTGGGTGTCCTGTTCGTTGGCATTCAGTACCAGAAGCACCAGGACGGACTGCACCACGCGCTGCTTACCCTTCTGCCGGCCTCGCTCGACCCGAGCCTCTTCACCCTCGCGTATACGTCGAATTCCAGCTCGTCGCCCCCACGACACACGCCTAACACCTGTGCGCCGTGCAGGAATGTGAACTATGGCCTGCCCGCGTGGGCGCAGCAGGTGGTGTGGCTCCCGGGGCTCGTGGAGCTGGTCGGCGCCCTCCCCGAGTACGCGCTCCCGCTGGCCATCGCCGCTGTCGCCGCGCTGGCCCTGGTCTTCCTCGCCCTCGAGCTGTTCCTCTTCCCACCCGTACGTCGCTTCAATCGCCGAAAGTAAACATTACATGTAGTGTTTTGTTTTATCTATATATTCCAGTATACATAAATACTTAACATAGCTGCAATCGACCACAAAGTTCGTGTGAATGTTGCAGTGCAACCGCAATGGATGATTAATGGAGTGTCTTCTTCAGATGGACACGAGCGCGATGCTGCCGATCGGGGCGCGTGAGGTCATCTGGCCGCAGAACACGAGCGGCCACGGCCTCACCTTCCACGTTGACGGCTTCAAAGCCGAAGGTACGCCGTCGAGCACTTGCGGTATTTCCATATATATTATATTATATATATATTTAGTCACAGTATTTTATTCTTTCTTTTATATATAACCACTGCTGATTTATACCCATCACTTTTCGTGCAGAGTTCACGCTCTCGCAGGCATACCTTCAGCTGTCGGGCGACCACGTGTGGACCTTCTTCGAGCGCAACTTGGGCCACCTCGCCGTCAACGCCTTCCGGTGCGTACGCGCGCGTGTGCTGTGCGTGTGCGGTGGTGCGTGTGCGGTGGTGCGTGTGCGTGTGCGGTGGTGCGTGTGCGGTCGCCAGTGCCTGTCTACTGTTTTCTTACCAACCTATGTCGCGCCCAACGACAGCTATGGCTTCCATCCGCTCAAGCTCTGTCCGTCGTACATGGACCCCGAGGCCTTCCAGCAGGTATGCCTGCACCCACCCTCCAATCTATGCCGCACTGGGCTTGCCCGAGCTCATGCGCGTGTGTCGTGCGTCGTGTGCGGCGTGTGTCGTGTGTGTGTTGGTCGTGTGCGGCGTGTGTCGTGTCGTGCGTGTTGCAGGGGAAGGACGACTTCTCGGTCGACATCAACCTCGGGACGGGCCACAATGGCACGCAGCGCGTCTCTCACGCCACGCTCCTGCGTCACCTGAACGTCCTCAACAACTCGGGAACTTCCAGCTTCAGCCTCCAAGGTTCCTCCCGCCTCCACGCGTTGCGTTGCGTTGCGTGTGTGCGTGTGCGTGTGCGTGTGTGCGTGTGCGTGTGTCGTGTCGCAGTCCTCATCGCCGTTGTTGCTTCGGCCCGTAGTGGTGCAGCGGTCGGGTCTCTTCTGGCGCAACCGGCGCCTGCTGTTTGAGATCCCCATACGGGGGCCGCAGATCTTGATCAGCGCCTACCACGCAGCCAACCACAGGGCCACAATTTAACGCTGTTTGGTCATAAAATTGATTATTAAATAAATAAAATAAAAATATAATGAAAAAAAGATAATGTTGCCCTCAGGCCACCGGCAGGTAGGTGGTCCCGGAGAAGGTGTCGAGAAGGGTCTTGCCGTGGTCCAGGCGGTCGTACGCGCTCCTGACCACCGAGACCCTCCGCTGGCGCGTGTGCGTCGCGTTGGCCTGGTCGTAGATCTCCGAAAGGGTCCGGAAGTCGTCACTGTCGTACGTGTCGTGCCAAGTGGAGCGATGATGCACCACCTGATCGTGGAGCAGGGCGTTCATGGCCGGACTCCACGCCCAGCTTTCCCTGCGGTGTTGTGTTGTAGGAGTGAGTCATGATAATAATGATAATAAATTCAAAAATAATTATAATTATAATATAGAATAATAAATAGATAATCAACAAGCAGGGCGTACAGGGTGAGGATGAGATCGCGACCGGTGTCGTTGTAGAACTGGTCCGTGGTCCAGAAGTTGCCGGCCAGCATGCTCGCGGTGACGTTGACGGAGATGTTGGCGTACTCGTAGTAGGTGTAGGCGACCTTGTCCATGTTGCACTTGACGCACAGCTGCGGCACCATCATCTCTCCGCAGAGCTCGCCCGAGGGGCACTGTTCGTCGCCGGTGCACTGG